CCAGTTAACCATACAGTTCAATCAGTTAACATTTTACATGGGATTTTACAGCCCTACACAAAACTCCTAACAGACGGGTTTTAAATTATCTGGACTATATTCGCTGACTCACCGGCTGTCTAACACTCTGCAGATTTAAACCAGAATGATATCAAATAGCAATATCCTAAAAAATTAGAATATGATTTTTCTAACCAGCAGGATTATCTTCAGCTTTAGCTGGATCATTCTCTTCTATTCCAGGCATGCCTGCGTCACCTCCTGGTTTGATTTTCTCTGTCAAAATAACAACACTAAGTTATTCTGTACTGTTCTTTTAACTTGAATAGTCTATTTAGCATTGGTGAAAGCCAGTGGGCTGACAGCACTGGAATCAAGTCTGCTATCCACAGACCAGGGACCATGCTAGCAATGACAGCACAAGTGGCACGGGCCTCAACTCTGTTTTGGTGGGAGCAATGAAAGGGCAGATCGGACTTCGACCTCAGTCTTTTCCCTCTGTTCTGAGAAGGAAAAGCACATGATAACAGCAACTTTTGTAATCTGCATACCTAGCTGAGGCAGACTATCCCAGCTTAAAAAAATATGGTTTGATAAAACACATGTAACGCATATTTATCTAAAGTGCCGCAAAAAGGAATACCTTTGCCATTAGGGATGTGATTGCTTGAGGGTTCTTCATGCTTTACTACATTTTTCTCATCTGTCTCTTGAACGGTCTTAGAAATTGCTTGATTATCATTCAAATCCAGTTCAATGTCTTGTCTTGCCTGGGTTCTCTGTGCATCCTGTTTTAAAAAGAAATTAAACCATAATAAAGATGGCCCTTAAAATGAGGGGGAGGAAATCACTCACTCGCCTCCTTAGACCAGATCTTGCAGAGTTCTCACTCCTAGGTGTTGGCTCCTTAGGAGGAGAATGGTTAGAACCTTGGAGAACAGTGGGCAATATGGCAGAGCATGAGCCATATAGGCCAACGTCTGCCAGGCATACATGCTGCCCTCCAAACACGAGTCTATTCCTGCAGCTGCGGAGCATCTGTCTCCATCAGAAAGAAATGCCAATTCAAGACCACTGTAAAATCAAAAATCCTGTCTCAGGCAAGAGGGGAAAGTGCCTTCAGAAAGGCAACACAAAATCAGACTTCAAACACAGACATCTCTGAGCAAATCTAGGCTTATAGCTTGCCAAAGGCCCACCTTGACCATGCTTCTCTTCCCCCAACAGGTGCATCACAGGGGTAAGGATTCCTGAATGCCTTGTGCTAACACCATGTCTCACATTTATAGCAAGACAGACAGTAACCGGTTTGTTTGGAGCTCAATTCAGTCATTTCCTTTTTCAGGAGCAATTTATATCCTTAGAATGGAATAAGGGAGCAAATGGGAGTAGTTATATCTCTATCGAAACAAAGGCGTATATGAAATAAGGTGCAATTACTCAGATTTGTACTTCAAGTTCATTTTACAGACATGAACTTCACCAACAAATAGGGTCGCTAGGCAGCTAACATGCCATTCCACTTACATCTAGAGAGGCAAATGGAAGATTGCGGATGTACGAAGCTTTAACGCTGCCATTCCAAATTCACGTCAATGACTTACATGATTTGTTATGCAGATAGCAGACATCCCAAAGGAATGCCCAGAAAACCATGATTCCACCACACATGTGTTTTGCTTGTACTATATTGTACGGTAAAATGATTAAACTAAATTTTCCTGTGTAATAAGTATTATGTAATCTGTCATGCTGCCTCCAATGGGAAGTTACCACACACGTGCCTTGGCCTTACAAATAGTTACAGTGCATCTCTCATTGGCAAATTCTAGCCTCCAGCTCCACCATGATACCACAAGCATTTCTAGAGCTGTTGATTCTCAAGACCTACCTGTCTAGGACTAAAACAAAACAAACATAATTATAACCAGGGCGCATTAAACTGCGGCGAGCCCCGCTCGCCAGCCGTGCTGTCCAGCGATCTGTGCATGCGCAGGTTGCCGGAACCCGGCTCTTCCGGGTTACAATCTACTCGCCACAGGCGAGTAGATTGTATAATTTGTCGAGCCCTGATTATAACCTAACATTTTAGTGACCCCAAGCCAGTGTCCCAGATATCCTAAACTAGCTCCAATTTTATTGCTCAAGATGAGAGCCCTACATTGAAATAAAAATTCCCTCGGTCAGCGACAGGAATATTTTAGCCACTATTTACCTTTTGTTCCCGTGCAGCTTGGTCCATTAACGTCTTTATATGTTCTTCATGCTGCATCCTCATTTCTTTGATTTGGTGTCCACACTGCAAACTTAATTGGAAGCACATTAACAGTTATGCATTTGATTTGGATTACACCAAGCCTCCCATAATTGCATTGGAGAAAAATAAAATAGACTGGCATAAAAAGCTTGAGGAGTAGAAATTGGAGAAGAGCAGAAAAGGCTAAGGTTTCCCAGGCGAGTTAAGCAAAAGGGTCCATGACCACTAGAGCATACCAGGACCTGGAAAAGAACCAAAAATTCCTGAGTCTCACCATTCCTTTATCATTAACAAATACCTTTGCAACTCACAAGTGTCTTATCCTTTCTCCAGTATTCATCCTCACAGTGGATGGCAAACTACCACCACCACCACAAGATAGCTGTTGGCTGTATTAACAGGGTCTGTGCAATGGACCCAAGGTTCCAACCATGCTGGTGAAATATGTGGACATCAATAATAGGCAATACAATGGTATGATTAGTCAGATAAAAAAAACTAGGAAAAATACACAAAACCACAGTAAAAATATTAAGGATGCAGAGTAAAGCACTCAAAAGTTAGGAAAAGCCAGACAAAGGTACTATGCAAAAAAAGTGTGACCATAATTAAAGACAATCATAATGCACATACACAAGGAGACTAAATTACAGTTGTACAGGCAATCTTAATTATAGCATTTCTTAAGTTCTTAGTGCTAGAATTTGAACCTTAATGTTTTAATATAGTTTGTGTACAGAGTATACTTATCAAATATTACTAATTCTACATTTAGAAAAGAATCTGTGCAAGAGTTTCATGTTAGTTTATTCAAGATCACTTTTACAGAGCTTTATTATTTTTGTACTTTTTACACCCAAAAATTTCATTGCCCGCCCAGCTACAATTAAGTTGTTTAAACAAATGTGTTGCAATGGTAGAAAAAAATGGTGTGTCTGAAAACTGTAGGTACTGGGGGTACTTATAATGTTTTTAAAAGGGGGCACTTTATTAAAAAAAAGGTTGAGAAACACTGATGTAATGCATTCCTTCCTGTGCATGTATATTGGCTGAGGAAACAGTTATATTAAGTTACAGTTTTAATATATGCCATTCCTTCCAATGTTTATTTACGGGCATATAACTGAAACAAGTAAAGAGCTATCACCTCAAAAAAGGGGAGCAGCTTGGTTTACCCCAACTGGTTTTCAGGAGCTAAAAGTGCCTCCCTCTACTCTGTATTTTATCTCTCGTAAGGCTTTTGTTGACAAAAAAAGAAGGTGGCATCCCATGTGCTAGCCACAACCAAATAATAACAATGACAGAAGAGCACAAGTTTATCACAGCAGGTTCAAGAAGGAAAGGTGGAACACATGAACAAATATGAAAGTAACAGATCCTTAAACTATTTTTTCAATTAGTTTTTAGGCCTCAAAATAAGCCAATGATGATCCACAAATTAAGGAATTTGTGGATAAAATGTGAAGAGGTAGTAATCCTGCAAAATTTTCTTCTCTATGTATTTTGTCTTCAAAGTTTCCCAATACTCATACTTTTAACCAAACATTATAAATTGTCCTTTCAGAAGTTTTAAGCATTCTCTCAATGTTACTGTGTCTCATTGTTTCCTATAATATGGGGAGGGAAGAGTTGCTTCCTAAAAATTGATTTCAGCCTAAATACAATACTTTTACTTCAACTCCAATAAAATTAATCTGTCATGAAGGCCTTGATAAACGCACCCTAAATACTTCAATAACTCAGAGTTGGATTAAATAGAATAGTTGTTCTATTGTCTCAACTCATACTTGAGGCAATATAAGATTTAAGTCAAATTTAATAAAAAGCACAATTCTGGGAAGTAACGTTTCTCTAGAGACTTTCCTACTCTCAATAAAGCACAAAAGCCAGAAAATAAAGGCTTACATTAGAAATCCTGACAGTTTATTCGATGTTAGCTATACATTGGTCAAAGTTTATTTGAGCATTAAAAATCTATTGGACTAGTTTGTGCTTTTAGGCATTTTATAAGAAATGTACACAAATCCGTAGTTATTACAAACACTCAAAAGCATCATACCTCTCATACTCCAGCTTCTTCACTAGGTAAGTGTTGTTCTTCTTGTACTCATGAAGTTGGTCCTCTTGACGAATGAATTCTTGGCGCAATTCTGCTAGTTGTTCTAGTCCAAATTGCACAAATTGAAGTGAGTAGAAAAGTGACCCCCTCTATAATCTCTTTTACCACTGATGCTTCTTATACGAAGCATGTTCATTTGCAAATATTTCTGATCTCTACTCTATTTACTCATTCTCCTCCTCCTTTAAAAGCTTCAGGTAAGCACTCTACCCTATCCCCCTCACTCCTTCCCTGGCCTGGCAAAAACTTTAAGATGGAAAACCATGTTTCCCAGGGTTTCTGGATTAGAGGTTCAAGTGTACTACTTGTGACCTTTCATGATCTACTATATATTTGAGAGTTTGAATGTCTGCAAGTGATGGCGTCTTTGTTCAAGATCTCCTCCTAAACAGTAAGAGCTAAGATCACCAAATTTAGCAGTCAGCTTCCTCTAATCATAACTTAAAGGTCAGGATTTGGTTGTGCCAGGACAATGGGACGTGCTTGAAATGCAATTGCTTCTCATAACACACAGAAAGGGAGGAATCTGCTAGCAGGGACAGTTATATGTATAATGACCACAGGGGGAGGGCAAGGGGCAGAGATGAGGACCAGGGCAGCTATAATCTCATTGGGACAACAGGGGGCAGGAGTGGAGAAAGAGACAGCTATTATATATTTCGGAAAGCATGTGTCTGTCTGTCTACCCGCTGGGAGGCATGTACCCCTCTCCCAGCTGTGCCCAATGCAGCGGCCATGGACATATGCTTTTCACCTGGACCCAAGGTGCTGCAGTAAGAGAAGGCTGAGGTTGTCCTCTCTTCCTGGGGCAGCCTGCAGACTGAACCCCTAATCCCATCCCCGAGCAATGATTTGAAGAAAAACAAAAATCAATCGAATTAAAGACCTGAGCAATGCTGGGTAATTCTAGTAAGACTATATGGTAAAAATTTAACTCTCTTCATTCAGAAGGACTATACGATGCCCCTACTTGTCAATGTTCATGGTGATCTCTTCATATACCACCTTATTTTCAAAAATACAGCAATATAAATGGAACCCTCTCTATATTGGGTAAGCAATTTACACTTTTAAGTGTTATCCTTGGCGCACAGCAGACATTCTGGGCTTCTTTTACTCCAATAATTTTTTTAAAGGATACATGTGATATTTTTACACCTATCTACATTTTAACGTGCAGTTTAGTTTTCAAAGCAGCTACTTGAGAAGTTTTTCTTCCCTACTGCTTTGGGCGCAGTGGCGAGATTTAAAATGCCTCCTCATATATATCTGTATTAATTATTCTCAATTGCTTTAAATCGAAAACCAAAAGTTAACACTACTAGGGCCCTAACAAATTCACAGTCCCTTCTGATCAAAGTCCAAGCCAGAGGATTTTTAAATTGGTCATTTTAGCTGCTTACATCTGAAATTTCATGGTGGTGTAACTGTAGGGGATCCCAACCCAAAAGGTACCCTGAAGTGGGTCTCATCCCCCCCATTCCCCATGGCATGCAAGGGAAGGAAAAGTCCCAACTCTCTCCCATCCAGCAGTGACTCATAGCTAGGTCCTCCCTGGCTGCAGCACTCTCAGGAGCAGGAAAACATCCACAAGTCTCCTGCAGAGGAGACAACTCTGGAGCAGAAGCTTCCTGCAGCAGAGGGAGACACTCAGAGGTGGGTCTGTTCTCCTTGAGTGTGAAAATGGCTATGCATGGCAAGGAAAAGTCCTCTCTCTCCCTAGCCCAGTTGGGACTTGCAGCTAGGAGCTCCCTGGCTGGGTTGCTCCAAGCAGGAAGGGAGAGACCAGATTTCATAGGGAAGGGCTTATTTCACAATTTGTCATGGCCTAAACATTGCAACATACTGGGCACACAGCTGCAATCTTCCCAGTACACACATAGATGGGAGTTTTCTGGTCCTATTCCATTTTCTGTGTTATGCAGGAGTCAGAAGACCTCTCTTCCCCCTCATTCAGTAATAACAGGGCTTTTCAAACTTTGTGATACCGCGACCCCCCTCTAAGTTGCTCGAACCCCCCTCTAAGCTGCTCGCGACCCCCCAGGGGCTCGGAACCCATAGTTTGAGAAACACGGAGTCATAATGTCTGCCTCACTAGACAAATTACATTTCACATTGATAATCATTCTGGAGTATTTTGGAAGTTTTTGCTAAAATATATCCTCTTCCTCCACTGCATTATAACATGCAAAGGCAGATATAGAAATCCACCCAGCCCCTATCGAAACCAGATAACGAATTACAATGTTTTATGAAACTTCCACCCCAAAGGATGCAAGTTGCCACTTGTTAATACTCCAGCATCAAACATATAGATTTTTCTTTTAGCATGCACTTATTAATACCCAGGGAAACATTTCAGTGTTAGTATGAGGAGGGAAGGACAGCTCAGTGGTTTGAGCATTGGCCTGCTAAACCCAGGGTTGTGAGTTCAATCCTTGTGGAGGCCATTTGGGGCAAAAATTCATCAGGGTGGGACTTGGTCCTGCTGTGAAGGCAGGGGACTGGACCTTTCAAGGTCCCTTCCAGTTCTAGGAGATAGGCAATCTCCATCATGAAATAAAATTATGCTATTCTCACACTTGATGTGTAAGTAGTAAGTTCCTTACCTTTTAAACGATGTATGTCTGCCATTTGATAGGATATGTTGTTCTGCAGTTTGATCTGCAAAGAAAGTTTAATTATTCTAAAAGATGAAAATGTATATTTTCACCTGAATAAGCCAGGAGCATTTGAACACATTTTGGTCTCACAATTAACTGTAGTTTTGCAAACCTGTGTGAAGCGCTTTCAGAACTATAGATGGAAGGTGCTGCAAGTATAAATCAATCATGCATTTCCTTTAAAAGTTAAGTCCCTAAGTGCTCCTTGAACAGGTTTAGCTAAATCTATCTTTAATAGAAATACTTTCTGGAAATTAACAAAGCCAAAGAAAATAGATTTAAACATAAATATATATCATTTGCTGCAACATTAAGATTGCACTGTGGTTCTACATGAAAAAACGGAACATAATAATTACATCTCAGAGTAATAGCTGTGTTAGTCTGTAACTTAACTAACAGGTAGTCCTGTGGTACCTTACCCACAAAAGCGCATGATACTATATATTTTTGTTAGTCTGTAAGACCTACTTCATCAGATGGTATTTTACCCCCAAAAGCTCAGAATAATTACAATTTCCCTGTCCAAGCCTAAGTAGTACAAAGTAAACAGTATTAATGGTGAAAAGTCACTTTAGAATGTTTCAGTTGTTCTAAAGTGAGATGCAACAGCAAGATAACCAAGAATATTTGCTTTAAACAATACATTTAATACGAAAGTATGTGTTTAAGAGATCTGCCTCAGCTCTGATGGAACCAGACTTCCATGAAGGCTCCTTTGATTAGATATTTGTATTATGTCAAAGTTCTAAATTAAAATCAGAAAACAAATGCAAAGGTAAGTGTAAATATAAAGCCATTATCATCTTGCTAAAATATGTTATATTTATTTATTTGTTCATATCAGAACAAATCAAAGAGGCAAAATGCTGGAAGTGAGGAATAATGTCTCTGACCATGCACGGCCAAAGAATGATGCCAAAAACTGTCATTAGTATTTCTCAATATGGCTTCCAGGTTGTTAAAGAATTCAATTATCTTCCTGATTAAACATAGTTACTTTTAAAAATGAACCAAAGGAGATGCTCCTTTGCTTTGGGGCAAGACCGCACCTGCTTTCTGAAGTTTTAACATCTTGGAATCAGACATATGGAATATGTTTTTTAAAAATGCCATATCTGCTCTAAGGAGGCACTAAGATTTCCTTTCCCACTTCCCCCCAATTTTAATAGGATTATTCATTCCCTTAAAAAACCTCTCATGGAAATCCCCTTTCACAGGAAGCTGTACTGCTTCTGACCTTCTTTCTGCTGACCTACCCTGTTCTACCTGTCTGTAAAATACCCGAGTTTGACAATTTGAAAGGAAACTCTTTCCTGATATAGAAAAATAATTTGAGAAAGGTATTAATACCTCACCCCCCCTTTCTTAATTGAAGCCCCGAAAACACAAACAAAACAAAAAAAGTTAAGAAACAGCCAAGTGTCCACAGTGTGAAGAGGAAGCATCTTCTCTCCTGTGGCACAGACTTTCCCCTACGCAGTGGTCACCAGCCAGTAGATCGTGATCTACCAGTAGATCTTGGAGCCTCAGACAGGTGATCCTGACTGGTTTGGCGGGGAGGCTAACAAGCGCCAGCACTTCAGTGGTCCTGCTGCTCCTGCCCAGGGCCACCTACTAGGAGCCTCCTGCTTGTAGTGCAGAGTGAGGGAGACAGAAGTAAGGAGGCACTGATGTCACTGTCCCCTTCTCCTGTACCCCATCTTCACAAAGTGAGGAGGGCTGGGCGTCGGAGACGGGGCAGGCAGGGGTATTTGGGTTTGAGGTAGATCCTGGACTGACAAATTCAAAAAAAGGTCAAGAACTAGGCTAAAAAAATGAGCTGACCTGCAACATATTAACGCACTTCCGAGGTTATGACAAAATAGGCAAGATCCCACTGGGGAAAGCCTAGCGCTTGTTTCTTGCGCCCATTCAATCGCACCCAGGAGGAGTTGCAATGGTCAGGACAACAACCGAACTCACTCGTCCCAGAAGACGTTACAGTAGCAACTTAAAGTTTATGTCCCTTCTCTACATCGGGCGCGAGAAAGGAGACAGGAAGGCCCCGCAGGACGCGCAGAGTCGCTCCCCCTGTCCGGGGGACCCCCCCGCCCCGCTACCTTGCTGTCCTCGCACCGGGCGGCCTGGCTGTCCCTGGCTTGCAGCTGGCTGCTCAGGTGGCTGCAGTCCGCCTCCTTCTGCTCCAGCTGCTTCTGCTGGGAGTCCACGCGCACCAGGAGCTCGGAGTTGCGCTTCTCCAGGCGCCCGCGGGCCACCTCGCCGCGCTGGGCCTGGCCCTGCAGCTCGGCCAGCTCCTCCTGCAGCAGGGCCTGGCGGGACGAGGCGCTCCAGAAGTTGAAGGCGAGGATGGCGATGAGCACCAGCAGGGCCACGAGGAGGAAGGACGGGAGCCGGCCGCCCCTCCGGTTGGCCCCGAACCCCACCATGGGCAGGCCGGGGGCGCGGCCCGCCCGCCCCTGAGGGGA